AATCTTGACTCAATTAAAATCATCACCCCAAAACCCCAAAACCCCTTAATCCTATGAATTGATATATTTTTTGATTTATAAAATAAAGGTTAAAAATACATAAATTTTCACCATCAGTTTCTAAACTATCATTAATATCTCACTCCATTATTTTACTGCATCAGATTTGCACCAGTCTGTTACATTATATTTAACTATCTTTCAGTTTACCTATTATTTCGCCTCTATATTTACTGCAATTACTACTATTGCCTTTAATCAGTATTTTCGCTTGCATTAGTCCTATTTTAAAGCTAATTATTTTAATCACCAATCAGAAGCATTGCTTAGTTCTACATGCTCTATGTCTGGTTGTGGTTTTATTGCTAGCGATCATTATTATTGATGAACTGGGCTTATGAGTTATTTCTTTCAGCTCTTTAACTATTTATTTATATTGGTATGCTACTTTACTAAAGATCTCTATTAGCAAATCCTACATTACTACTAACTCCCATTACATAGAGAGGTCTTAAATTATTTGACTAGGTGTTAGCATTAGTGACATGCTCCATCAGGTCTAGTTCTTCCTCCACTATATCCCTGCCATTATCATTAGCTTGCAATGTTGGAACATTTTCATTGAACAATTCATCGTTGGAGTCATTTAGATTTGCTCTTGTTTAGTTGCTAACATGTTAGAACTAATCAGTAGGTAAGACTCTATTAATAGTTGATCTGTTTCTTTAATGCTAAATATCATGTATCTAGCTTTGGATACCTGCAATATTGTTTTAATTCGTGTTTTAAGTTATATTTGCTTGAGTATTCGAGCTACCATCTATTGATCGATTTGACCTTCTGCCATTTGGTTAGTTCATGCTTTAATCTTAAACCTGAGGAATAATTGATAAATCAGATCTATCCCTTAAATTTTATGACTAATTTTCCTAAATTGATGCATCATCAATATCAATTCTTGCTCTTTATCTTCGCTTACAGCAATTTTAACATCATTTACTTTTCCAGCATAGATCGATAGATATAAATAAGGAGATCAACAGAAAGATAAGTCCAAAGACTATGATCAAAATCTCAATGAAGTCAATTTTTTCATCTCTTTAAGGAATCGTTTCAAAACTTTACCTGCTATAGGCTGCATCTTCATAGCCTTACCTCTGAGATGAAGAAGCTAATGTTAGCATTACTGTACCCTTGTAATTTATATTTGAGGTTTAATTACTGGTATTACTTGAACCATCACTACTACCACTGTCTACTCCTGAGCTAGGCTTTACATTTGAAACACCAGTGCATCTAATGTCATTCTAATAATCATACTATTTATACTTAGCTAGTTACACAGTAGCTTAATAATATGGACTGTTATCATTGGAAGTTGAAACGAATGTCATGAATATTTGATTTGGGTATTCAGCTATAAGTGTGTCACCAGCAGTAGGGCTACAATTCACTACGTAAGATGAAGTTATTGATTCACCAAGATAGAAATAAACTTTAACATTTTGAACAATTGCTAAATTTACATAGATCACATCACCTTTAGTTGCTGTATTTGGGAATTAAACTTTATAGTAGCAGACAGAGTCCTTAGTTAGTTTTGGTGTTGCTTACTGGTCTAATTTGATACTGAATTATGTAGAATATGAACTTGGAGTTAGAGTATCAAATGTACCACAATTACTCTGCTAAGGACAAGAAAACAACTTCAACCCATATTAATATGCACCAGCAGAGCAAAACTAAGAGGATCCAGATGGTTAACATTTTGTTTCACTAGGACTACAACAATTACCAGTTTTTTTAGTTGATCCAAGGCAGAACTCATTACCTTTGGCCAAACAGTTTGAATTGCAATCAGTAGAATTAGTCTAAGCAGTTACAGTAAGTTCTCTCTGATAAGCTTTTGAATGATCAAATAAAATTGATAAGGTCAATAAAAAGACCTTTAAACTTATAATATATCTCATTTTATTTATAATATTTTATCTATTTATAGCTTCAACATCGCTTATTTTGAATTAATGGGGTTTTGGGGTTTTGGGG